GGCTTATCATCTTCCTGATGATGGTGAATGCATCAACTCCCACAGGTATGTAAGTCAGGTATAACCTCCATGATAACATCTAAATTTGGGATTTGAAATATGCCCAGAGTAGACTTGGCTGCCTCTACAACTGTGTGAGCCATTTTCTTGATATAAATTTCTTTTTACATAAGTATGTATAAGCTTCACTTGTTTTGCTCTGCTAGAAAACCCAGCCTAAGACACAGTCCACCTAACAGCAAAAATACTGAGGAAAGGATAGGGTTGTTGGGTACTTGCTTTTAATTTTCTCCATTTAACAGCCCTGTATTGAGGTGTCTTTCTGAAACTTTGTAACATTTTCCATTTCTGTGTTATCCCATCCCAAAGAATTCCTGTTGCTGATATTTTGAGATTTACTTTCTTCAAGTATAAACTGCATTCAGATTGAAATTCAAAATAGCCCCACTACTGCTGAGTCTTGAGACTAGAGTCCAAAGGGAAAAGAAAAAAAACCCTGGGAAAGTTCGGGTGACTAAAGTTGGGAAGCTGGAAGTTACCCATCAAGGGAGAAAGGCCTAGAGAAATAAAACAAGGCCTCTGTCTGTAGACTTGTGCATGGGAGTTGTGTTGGGCCTTAGTTGGTAGCTTTGTGTGTACTGATCTCATCTTTCTATGATGAGTGAGGATTCTGGGGACCCAAAGAGTGGAGCTCCCTATAACAGTAGGCAGAGTTCAGTGACAAATAGAGAAGGAGGAATAAGAGCCTTCCTCTGTGCAAGGCTTGTACCATCTTCTGAACTGAGGTAAAAGCAAATTGGAGAGAGCGGCCTGGCCAGGAAGACCTGGAGATGGTTTTCAGAAAAGCAGCCATTGAAAACCATGATGGGGCACAGTTCAACTCAGGAGACTCTGGTTCGAATCCAGCCACTGCACTTCATGTCTAGTTTCCACCTACCTTTCAGCGAAGGTTTACATGTTGCTGTGATGTTGAGCAAGTTTCAGTGGAATTTCCAGAGGAAGATGAACTAAGAAGAAAGGCTTGGTGATCTTCTGAGGTCAACGGGCACAACATAGTTCACAAAGACAATGCTCTACATCCCATTTTGGTGAATCGCAAATGGGGTGTTAAAAGTTAGCGAGATACCATCTAAGGTACAACTATTGGCCTCTCTGGTCCAGAGGAAATAAGAGTGATGAATATCGAAGACAGGTGGGAGTAATGAGCCCAATGGACTAAGGGACCGTGCAAACATCAGCCTCTATGACCAGAAGACCAGAAGAACTAGATGGTGCCCTGCTACCATGACCAAATATACAGAAAAAGATCACGTTAGAAGGTCCTGAGTAGAGTTTGAGAAAGATGTAGAACTAAACTTGAAAACATAAAAAAAGACCAGGTTTACTGTTTCGATAGAGACGGTGGAACCATTGATTCTCTGACCCTCCTCATTCCTCCTTCAGGTCTGAACTGAACACCTCTCCCCTCTCCACCCTTCCATCCCTGCTCAATTTTCAGCCAAACAATAAACAGGTCTTTAAGGGGAACAATAACACTAATGAGGTAAGCACATCTAGGATAAGCAACCAGCTGAGATCAAAAGTGTCGCATTGACCCAAGGACAAAGGTGTCGTCTGTGGGGTTAAAATAGGAGGAATGGACACAGAAGGCACAGGGGGGGAGGGGGATAAGCCATGCTACATTGTGGGAATGGTCATCAATGAGATGAAACACCAATGGGTAGGAATTGTTGAATGAAAAACTGAAAGTTTCTTTGTAAACCTTCACCCAAATCACAATAAAAAGTAAAACAAACAAAAGAACCAGCAAACCCGAGACCCTATGGCTCCCAAGAGTCAGATCTTTCACTGATCATGAGGAAGGTGCAGGATGGGGCAAGGCTTTCTTCAGTTCTGCCGGGGGTCTCCAGGAGTTGGGAATCAACTCACCAACAACAAAGCCAGCGTTCGTGTTTTACTGTCTGCAGCCCCTCCCCAGCCAGCTGTCAACCATTCAGGGGGAAGATGGGCACCTGTTTATCTCTTCTGCCTATCAGGACTCAGCCCTCAATGGTTCATATAGGACTTTCTCAATAAATGCTTCCAATCGCATAACATTTTTTAAAACAAAAGTAAAATGTAATGGAATTATCAGACACCCAAGGACTAAAAAAGACATTTAAAGAAAAGAGAGAGAGATTTGTGCTTAGAAAATTTTCCTTCTAGGCATCAGGTTCTTTTGGAGTTAAAAAAACTCTAATGAAGGTAAGAAAATTGTCAACACTGAGCCTAGTCAAAGATTTAAGCACTCATGGTTTTGTGACTTGTTTTCCAAGAGTCAAAACAACCAAGCAAACAAAGAGTCCGGGATATAGTCCATTAAGAATTTCTTCATGTTTTTCTATTTTGGGAATAATATATAACGAGAATGTTAATGATTTTTACTGCCACTTGGAAGTGTTCCTAATAGTTTTATCTTCCTTTTACCCAGTCTGGCCTCATTAGATGGCTGTAGCTGTTATCTCCTGTCCATTTGCTCTTCAAGCTCGGTGCTCACTCACTAGGAGTCAGCATTGACTTTATGGCACTGAGGTTTTTGTTTGTTTGTTTGTTTTGAAGTTTAAAGAACAAAGATGTCACGTTGAGGTCTAGGCTATGCCAGACCCATGCTATGGTATTTTTCAATCACTTCATATGCATGGGAAAACTGGACAATCGCTAAGGAAGACTGTACAGAATAATTGATGAATTTGAATGATAGTGTTGACAAAGAATATAGAAAGTACTACAGACTACCAGAGAGATGCACAAGTCTGTCTTGGAGGAAGTACAGGCAGATGCTTCTAGAACTGAGGTGGGTGTGGCTTCATCTCATGTACTTGGACTTTGGACATGCTATCAAGTGAGACTTTGGACATGCTATCAAGTGAGAGCGGTTCCTGGAAAAAGACATCATGCCCAGCGAAGTAGAAAGTCCGTGAAATAGAGGACAACCCTTGCAATGCGGTGAATTATTTAAAATGGCTCTTTTAGCCACAGGCTTGGTTCCCACCACCAATGACCTTTGTTTTCCTCAGCAGTCTGGGTAGAGGAAAATACTGACTGGAGTATATGATTCAGCTGTGAGGGATTGTTAACTGTGCTTGCCATCTGCTGGATAAAAAGTGAGGCATCTCCATCATTGTGTGACCACCTACCCCACATAAACTCTGAAGACGAATGTGTGCATAAGTAAGTGTGGTGAAGAAGGCTGATGGTGCCCGGCTACCGAGACCTATAGCATCTGGGGACTTAAAGGCTTGAAAGTAAACAAGCGGCCATCTAGCCCAGAAGCAACAAAGCCCACATGGAAGCAGCACACCAACATGTGT